CAGTGTAGACGCTCTTTTCTGGCTTTTTTAAAAGCCGGAAAAAAGCGGCGGACATTTTTATTTAAATGCCGCGGGGGATATTTAAATCCCCCGCGGATTTCCCTACGACAACTGCTGAAATTTACATGCCCCTTCCGGAAAAGGGGCCAGTGTAGACGTAGCCATACACTCCAGACAGCCACTTACCACAAGGGTCCCGTTTTTACTCTTTTACCTGGAGAACTTCCTCTCCAAACTCCCTGTTAGCTGTTCCTGTTTGCAAGCCCTGCCCCAACTGGGGTTGCCCTTGTGTGGGGTGGGGGGCTGGCAGCAAGGCCAGCTGCCCAGTGCCCCTCCCATTTGCTCCCCCTCCCTGCAAAGGGGCCCACCTCAGGGGCTTGTTCCTCAACCCCCCCCTCTTCTCCCCCAACATGCTGGGCTCCAGCGCTGCCCACGCCGCCTGGGGCTGTAGCTGCAGCCAGCTGGCAGGGGAGGCTGGGCTGCCGGTTTGACGGCCCTCTGGCAGCAGCTGGGAGCGCCTGTGTGGTGGGCATGGCGTCCCTATCGGGAGGGGGGCTGGATGGATCCCAGAGACTCTCCTGGCCTACCCCCTGCCCAGCCGCCTAATCAGGCCCTATTCTTGCTGCAGCCACAGGAGCAGGGCCGCAGATGGGGCCTGTCAATCTCTCCACCACGGGCGGCTCCTGTTCCTGCTGGGAGGTAGCCAGGAGAGGCCAGGCCGTGCCCTCGCTGTAACCTTGCCTGCTGGGGCCGCTCCAGCTCCCTCCCCACAGCCCAGTCCCTGCCCTGTGCCTGGCTGGGAGCCAGATGGTGCCTGAGATCTCATCTGCTTTGAGGTTGCCAGCTGGGGTCAGGCAGCCTGGATTCAGACGGGCCCATGCAGCGGCCCAAGCTGGCAGCTGCCTTAGAGCATGGTAGTCTCAGCCCCTGCAGTGGTGTGACTGTGGGGGGGGGCCTCTCCTGCCTGCCCCTCACCCCCAGGACCAGTGGTCCCTGCAAGCTGAGTGCATGGGTGGCCATCCAATGCCCAGCTGATTAGCAGAGCACCCACAACTGCCCATAGCCTGTGTTTCTACTGGTGGTGCACATTCACAGATGCCTTGGTGCACATAACAAAATTTATTCTGCACAGAACTGGAAAAAATTACAGGGAACATTGCCCAGGATAGCAGAGTACACCCCCACCCCCGCCGCCATGAAGCGTAGGTTTGATAGCACGTGCACACACTGGATTTGCTCCTCCTTTGCTCAGGCCCCCATGCAGCCACTCGCACCAGTGCGACATGCTGCCCTCCTCCCTGCTTTGCACTGGTGTGAAAGGTTGCAGCCAGTGCCAGCAGGCACTCCTCAGAGCCTGCCTTCCCCGTGCACCCTGGCCACCCGCAGGCCCTCTGCTCCCACAGCGGAGAGGAGGGCCAGAGCTCTATGGCACAGTGCAGAGTGACAACACCAGGGCTGGTGGAGGAAGAGAGGCGAGTGTGCAGGCTAGTGGGGGGTGCTGGTACCACGTCTGGAGGTGCCGGTACCACGACTGGAGGTACCAATACTGTGTCTGGAGGTGCTGGTACCATGACTGGAGGTGCTGGTACCACGACTGGAGGTACCAATACTGCAACTGGAGGTGCTGGTACTACGACTGAAGGTGCCGGTACCATGACTGGAGGTGCTGGTACTACGACTGGAGGTGCTGGTACGACAACTGGAGGTGCCGGTACTACAACTGGAGGTGCTGGTACCATGACTGGAGGTGCCGGTACCACGTCTGGAGGTACCAATACTGCGTCGGGAGGTGCTGGTACCACAACTGGAGGTGCCGGTACTACGACTGTGTTGTACCAATAAAAGCAAGCAGGATCTTATGAGGGGGATAAGGCAAAAAGCCACATTTATTGTAAAGATAATAATAAAAAAATAAAGAAAAGATAGAGGTGCCAGTACCATGACTGGAGGTGCTGGTACCACGACTGGAGGGGCCAGTACTGTGTCTGGAGGTGCGGGTACCACGACTGGAGGTTCTGGTACTACGACTGGAGGTGCCAGTACTGTGTCTGGAGGTGCGGGTACCACGACTGGAGGTTCTGGTACTACGACTGGAGGTGCCAGTACTGTGTCTGGAGGTGCGGGTACCACGACTGGAGGTTCTGGTACTACGACTGGAGGTGCCAGTACTGTGTCTGGAGGTGCGGGTACCACGACTGGAGGTTCTGGTACTACGACTGGAGGTGCCAGTACTGTGTCTGGAGGTGCGGGTACCACGACTGGAGGTTCTGGTACTACGACTGGAGGTGCCAGTACTGTGTCTGGAGGTGCGGGTACCACGACTGGAGGTTCTGGTACTACGACTGGAGGTGCCAGTACTGTGTCTGGAGGTGCGGGTACCACGACTGGAGGTTCTGGTACTACGACTGGAGGTGCCAGTACTGTGTCTGGAGGTGCGGGTACCACGACTGGAGGTTCTGGTACTACGACTGGAGGTGCCAGTACTGTGTCTGGAGGTGCGGGTACCACGACTGGAGGTTCTGGTACTACGACTGGAGGTGCCAGTACTGTGTCTGGAGGTGCGGGTACCACGACTGGAGGTTCTGGTACTACGACTGGAGGTGCCAGTACTGTGTCTGGAGGTGCGGGTACCACGACTGGAGGTTCTGGTACTACGACTGGAGGTGCCAGTACTGTGTCTGGAGGTGCGGGTACCACGACTGGAGGTTCTGGTACTACGACTGGAGGTGCCAGTACTGTGTCTGGAGGTGCTGGTACCATGACTGGAGGTGCTGGTACCACGACTGGAGGTGCCGGTACTGTGTCTGGAGCTGCCGGTACTGCGTACAGGACAGTACCATCACAAAAAAAGCACTGGGTGGGCAGCTGCCATCCTGCTCTGTGCAGTGCACTCAGCCAGCACGCGAGTGGGTGCGCCCCCTCCTTCCCGAGTGGAGAGCTAATCCCCAGCTTCAGCAGAACTGTGCAAAGTCAGTGGAAGGAGCTGCTGCACTGGTAATGAGGTTGGGGACAATGTTCCCCCCCAATTTCTTCCAGGTGCAGAATAAATTTTGCTATGCGCGCCAAGGCATGTGCACCACCAGTAGGAACACCCGCTGCCGACCGACTACGGGGGCTCTGCTAATCAGCTGGGAAGTATCTGAACCTCTCCTGCATGGCTGCCCAAGCGCTCAGCTTCCAGGGAACACTGGCTGGGGGGCAGCCTAGCTCCAGGCCGAGAGTGATGAGACTTGGGAGCTGGCGATCAATCGCCTTGTCATGGGCATGGTGGGTGGGCACCGGATCCTCTGCAGCTGGTCCCAGTAAGGATGTGGCAGGTTTGATACCGGATCCTGCCCTGCCCCACGCAGGCAGTGCGAGAGGGCTCCTTGTGTACCGGCCCCTTGCAGCCAGACAGGGCACAGGGTGGGGCAGGGGTGCAGGGGGACACTGGCCCTCCTGTGGCTGCTGAGCTGGAGGCAGGCTGAGCCCAGCTTGTTCTCTCACTGCTCCTCAGCCACCCACGGACTGTATCTCACGGCTCTCCTCCTCCTCATTCCCCAGCTCACCCCTCCCCTCCCTCCTCTTTCCATTGCCTCCCATGTGCTGCCCCTGCCCATCCACGCAGCCATGCGCTTCTCAGTCACTGCACCATCCACCCTCCCACACCTCGCAGCCCCCTCCTCTTTCCCCACCTGCACCCAGCCCCATTGTACAGCTGGGGAACTGAGGCCCAGAGAGATTAAGTGACTTGCTCAAGGCCACACAAGCAGGCTGTGGCAGGGCCCAAGCCCTAAACTCAGCTCTCCTGAACCCCAGCCATGTCTTCACTACCCAGCCAACCCACTGTAGCCAGAGGCTGGGGAGCCAGCACCCTTCCCCGCTTCTTTGCAGGCCCAGCGTAGCCGTGGGATGACGAAGGGCCTGGGAGGACGCGGGCAGAGCCTGACAGCTGACCTGCTGCTCATCAGCAGTGACTGGCCCGCATGTAATCTCCATGAATAGCCAGCTGAACTGCCTGGCTAAAAATAACCAGCTGCCTTTTCATAAGGGGCCGGCCCGCGGGGCTGCTCGAGAGACGCCCGCTCGTTCCCCTCCCGCCACAGCCAGAGCAGCCAGGCAGGAGCAGGAGTGCACCATGTCAGAGCGCCGGGTGCCCTTCACTTTCCTGCGCAGCCCCAGCTGGGACCCCTGGCGGGACTGGTACCTGGGCAGCCGGCTCTTCGATCAGTCTTTCGGGATGCCCCAAATGCTGGAGGACTGGTACAAGTGGCCGAGCAGCACCAACTGGCCGGGCTACCTCCGCCTGCTGCCCAGCCAGGCCGCCGAGCCACTGGCCGTCCCCAGCCCCATCGTCACCTCCCCCACCTCCCCTAACCCTGCCTACAGCCGGGCCCTGAGTCGCCAGCTCAGCAGCGGCATCTCGGAGATCCGGCAGACAGCAGACGGCTGGAAGGTTGCCCTCGACGTCAACCACTTTGCCCCGGAGGAGCTGGTGGTGAAGACCAAGGAGGGTGTGGTGGAGATAACCGGTGAGTGCTTCCTTCTGCTCCTCCTGGCTCTGGAGAGGGGCAGCCGTCTCCTGTGAGCCTGAGCTGTTCTCCCTGTGCTGAGCCCTAGGCCTGCTGCACATGCCCCCCCACAGGGCTGGATTACCCAATAGGCAGACTAAGCATGTGCTTAGGGCACCCGCAAAGCCGGGCCACCAAAAAAAAGAGATTTTACGGTATAGTATTGTTTTTATTTTGAATTACATGGGGGGGGCACCATCATCTTTTCAGTGCTTAGGGCCTCTAAAGGTCTTAATCCGGCTCTGCCCCCCTAGAGCAAGGTGAGTGACACAGGCCCCACTGGGCCTGGTCTGTGAGAGGTGGCTGCAGCCCCCCTCAGGCCGGCCTGGCTGCCGCCTGTGGCCCCGGAGGGCCAGGATTCAAAGGCTCCATTCAGGCTGGAGGATTCCTCCTGCCGAGATGGTGGGGCACTGGTGCACCCTTCACTCTCTCGAACCTCCGGCCCTCGACTCGGCGCCTCTCACTATATCGCTCATGCCTCCAAGCGGGCCGTTGCCTGCCCCCCCTTATTTCCCCGTCCCCACAGCCTTGAGGAGTGGATGCAGCCAGCCGGCCCCCTCTGTTTCCACCCCACTGCACGCTAGGGAGCCGCTTGCTCCAGTAGGTCGAAGAGGGAAAGGGCTTGCTCAGCCACCTAAATCCATGCAAGCCATGGGACGGGGGAAGACTACGCTTGTTATTCCATTCCGGCTGAATATTTGTATTCCAGACCCCTCTAGAGACCTCAGCCTAGAGCAGGGCCCCCTTGGGCTGGGTTCTCTACAAACATACTAAGAAATAGACCCTGCCCCAACAAGCAGTTGGTCTAAATAGACAAAAGGGGAGGAGGGAAACTGAGGCAGGGGGCTGTAATATAACTTATCACCCAGCAGGTCTGTGACAGAGCTGGGGACAGACCCCAAGCTTCAATGAGTCCCCGGCTCACAGCCTAGCCCCCAGCCCTCACTACCCCCTAGAGCCCTCTCTCGAAAGCGAGGAGCCTTGTACCCTTGGGGGGTCTGGGCCCGAGGGCTTTCCAAGTTCACACACGCCCTTAGCAGTGAGTGCTCCGGCAGCCTGGCGAATCTCCTCTAGAGCAGCATTAAAGATGGTGGCTTCACTCTCAGGGGAATCGTGTGGGCCTCGCTGCTGGATTTGAATCGTGACCCTTCCAGCTTTTTCTCTCCCTCCCTGGCTCAGATCCCAAACGAGAGCTCGGCAAAACATCTCCCAGCCCAGCAATCGCCATCACAATGGCAGGGAGCAAAGCCGAGGGTGCGGGGAGGAAGGAGGAGTCCCCTTACTGCCGTTTTCAGCCACTTCTGCAACACACTGCAGGCTGGCCCCCTCTGGTCCAGGACTCTGGGGTCCGTCTTGCCCGCAGCTGGGGGGGGGGCCAGGCTGGCCGCTCCGGGGGATGGGGAGCCATACCAGCAGCCGGAGTGGAGCCCCTGGGGACAGTGGAGCCCCAGAGCAGGTGGGCCGGGAGCAGTGTGTTGGAGGAGAGCCCCAGGAGAGCCCAGAGGCCTGACCTCCCCTGGTCGGGCAAGCCCCTTGTTTGGGACCTCTCAGGTCCCCAGGATGCTGGACCGGGGAGGTCCAACCTGTAACGAAATATTTTCAAACAAATGTTAAACTAAGGTCCTGTGGCCTCCCATGGGACATTCAGACGCTGTCAGTCTGGACCAGGGGTGGGCACATGTGAGTGAAACGGCTCCGTTGCTGCTGGAATGGTTCTTTCCCAGGTTCAGTGTCTGCTCTTAGCCCTGGCTGGCTTTGTCACTGGTAGCTAGATCCTCTCTGGAGGAAGCAGAGCCACAGAACAGGGATAGGAAGAGGAATTGGGTGGATGGACATTAGGACCCAGGGGTGCCCTGAATTTCCAGGTGCCCTACGCAGCTGCGTATTCTGCATGTGGCTAGGACGGCCCTGACCACACTGTGCTGTGACCCAGCCCTGCGCAGCTCACGCGGCTTGGATGTAAGATCAGCCTGAGTCCCCCTGAGCCGTCCCCTCCCGCCCTCTGCTCCAGGAAGTTTTGCAGCCAGCTGTCCCAGAGTGCCAAGTCGCCAGCTGGTACAAACCGGTGCGGCTTGAGTGACTTCAAAGCACGATGCTGGTTCACGCCTGCTGAGGGTCTGCCCCAGAGTTTGGGGTTTGCTGGGCAGCAGGAAAGCTTTGCAAGAAGCTACCACTTCCCTGTTTCTTCCCAGCAAGCCAGTGATCAGGTCACCAGCTGGTACAAACCGGGGATCTCCGAGCCTGCTGGTGAAACCGACCCAGAGCGACGATGCTCAGAACCAATTTGCAGCCACCGGCGAAGCTGAAAGGGACTGACTCAGTCCAAGGCGGATGGTGCTCACCCAGGGGCAGCCCCTTGCATCCAGGGGACTGGAGCTCAGAAGGCAGGACCCAGCTGGGCTGAGATACCGGGACATGGGTTCAAATCCCTGCTCTGCCACAGACGCCTAGTGTGACCTAACTCCAGCTTCTCAGCGGGATTTGGGGCCTAAATGCCCCTTAGGAGCTGGGCCCTCCTCTGAGTAGCCCAGGGGATCAGCACTTCCCTACCCGGCCAGAGCAGCCTGTGAGGTACAGGGCTGCGTACGTGCCTTAGCTTGAGAAGTGGAGGTTGCTGAAACCCAGGGGCTGCGAACCAACCACCTAGCCTGAGACACAGCTGGGGAGGGGAGTGGGGGAGGATGCAGTGAGGCTACCTCTGCACCCTGGGGCTTGGCAGCTGTGGACCAGGGGAGCAGAAGGCTCCCATTGAGCCACCAAATACCCCGGCCCGTTCCTTTCCAGAGGCTGTAAATCCAGGAGAAGCAAAGGAAAGCTGGCATCCAGGGTGGGAGGGGAGGGGGGAAGGGACTGGGAACTTTTCTTCAGTTTTCTACTGTCAGGGGCCAAACTCCCAGGGCAGAGAACGCATCTCCCGCCCCCCAGGCAGCAAAATTCCAGCTTTTGATCCCCTTTCCCGTTTGTATCTGCAGTTTCTCCTTATCTGGTCTCGGCTGTTCAGCCCAGCCCGGCGCCTGCCCTGAAAACCAGACAGAGCCTAGGATGCAGCATCCGGGTGGCTGAGGCGTCTCCCGATTTTGTAACCCAGCTGCACGGGTGTGGGTGGAGGTGGGGGGCAGCGGTTTCTTCCATTCGCAATCACCCATGTAAATGGCAAGCCGCCCGTGCGCTGGGTAACCATGGTAACAGGGAAGCAGAGGCCTAGAAGGTGGGGAGGCCGAGCTGCGCTTTGGGGAGCTGTAGGAACGGCAGCCTGGCTTGGCTCTGGCCCCACCGCATGCCATAGAAGCTGCCTGCCCTGTTGGGGGGAGGGGGAAAGCAGGGCCGGGGAGATGGACCAGCTTGTCAGCCAGGTCCAACTCCACTGTGAGCTGGCAGGTGGGGTGCAGAGTGACACAAGAGCATTGGCAAATCAGCATTTTATACTAGTCACTCTTGCGCCTGGGAGGGCCGGCCCTGGGCCGGGACCCGCTGTGTTAGGTGCTGGACATACACAGAATAAAACCTGACAGGCCAACCGACGCCAGTGGCGGAAATCTGGCGCGAACAGGCGCTCTCATAGGAGTTGGGCTTCCGGATGTTAAATTGCGATTGCGAGCTAATCGAATAGTCGATACAATCTGTATCGATACAATCTGTATCGACTATACAATTAGCCGATCGCACCGCTATGCACAGCCGCCACGGGGGCAGCCCCAGGAGCCCCCCGCACTGCGGCGCCGCATTTTAAACTGCTTATCAGATGGTCGCGCATGACCCCGTGCGGAAAACAAGCTGTCCCTCGCTGGAGAGTGGGCAGGGTGAGCGAGGGCTCGTGTTGCGCACGCAGGGTCCTGTTCAGAATGGAGCCTCCCCGCTCCGAAACGAAGGAGCCCGTTCCTCTTGGCTCCCCCAGCCAAGCGACTACTAGTCCCCTGGGCAGTCTGGCGGGGGGG